GTTTGTTTACTTCTTGAAAATTTCCTGTACCTCTGTGGACTGAATGCATTCGAGTTGCACACTTTGTGTTCAACCGGTGTGCTATTCGAGCACTAAACTTGACAACCACATTTGAGAAGTTATATGACATCCGTCCCAAATTACTTGTCTTTGTGTGATTGGAAGTCTAGCCTGCGCTCACAGCCTAATAGAAAAGCGCACTAAATTACAAGTAAAGTATGTTTGCGTTATTCTATTGGGATACGATGAGCAGTCACAAGCTTATCAATGCTGCAATCCGCATAAGAAGCACTTAGTTATATATGCAGATGTTATTGTATTTGAATCTGTCCCAGATAATTTTTGGTTAGATCAATCATTTATGAATATTTTTCCTTTCTTCTCGATGATGATCCTACGCTTCCTACTCCGTCATCGACAGAACATAATAACTCTCATCAATCTGATTTCATCCCTCCCTTGAATATTCACCAACCAAACCTACCTCAACCTCAAACATTGCCTATTACTTCTTTTGCGACGTCTAACATTGCTCCAACCTTCACTGTCTCAAACATTACTCTTCCACGACAAAACCCATCAAGGATGCGGCGTTTTTGCTCGTTATGACGATTATTACATCTCTGCACCTTATCAACTCAATGCTGTTGAGACCATCCAACCAATTACTGATCAGATTTCATTCCACCAAGCAAAGCTTTATCCAGATTGATGGAAAGCAATGCAAGAGAAATTTTACGCTCTTATTATGAATCTCACTTGACAACTCGTTGAACTTCCTTGAGATAAAAAAACACTAACTTCACGTTGCATCTACAAAGCAAAATAGAAATTGAATCCCACAAAATTTTTTCTAAAAGCTAGGCTTGTTGCTTGTGGTTTGGAGTAGACGTATGGAGTGAATTACAACGAGATATTTGCTCCTCTAGTCCGCTGGTCTAGTCTTCGAGCAATGATAGCACTATCTATGACTTTTGGTTGGACTTTGCACCATATGGATGTTATCACTGCCTTTCTGAATGGAAAGCTACAAGAACATATCTACATGCACCAGCCCCAAGGCTTTGAAGAACCAGGAAAGCAGCTCTTGGTATGTCTACGGAAAAGGCCTCTATACGGGCTCAAACAATCTCCTCATCAGTGGTATAAGGAGATTGACACGTAGCTTTGTTCCAACAAATGGACCAGAAATCAACTAGATCCTAATTTATACCTTTTACGTGCTAATAAAACTATTAGTCTACTTTTACTCTACGTTGATGACTTGCTAATTTTTGGTAATAATTCTTCTTGTGTCGCTAAGATCAAATATCAACTTAGCTTACTATATAAGATGAAAGATTTAGACAGGATCTCTTGGTATCTTGGTATCCTGGGGTGAACATCGTGCATACCACTACTGGCGGGATTTTTATGCATCAAACTAGCTACACCACGGACTTACTCATTTTTGGTATTATTTCTTCTTGTGTCGCTGAGATCAAATATCAACTTAGCTTACTATATAAGATGAAAGATTTAGGTAGGGTCTCTTGATATCTTGGTATCTTGAAATGGACATCAGGCATATCACTACCGGCGGGATTTTTATGCATCAAACTAGCTACACCATAGACTTACTCAAAGAGTGCAATTCGGACACATTCTTCATTGAATCATTTTCACTCCCGGTTGAACTTGTTTTTGAGGTAGATACAAATATGCCACATGTTGATAGCTCAAAATTTTGTCACCTAGTCGGTAAGCTCATCTTCTCTGTCACACTCGCCCTGATTTTTTGTACCCTGTTGGACTTATGAGTCGGTTTATGCATAAATCGCAAATGGCCCATTGCAATGCAATTCAACATCTCCTGCGACATCTCAATGGCACTGTGAACTATGGCTTGCTTTACCAAAAGCGAAACCGCATATTCAAGGCTATACTGATGCAGATTACTTTAGTTGTACTAACACACTTGATCCGTTGGGGCTTATATTTTTAAGCTTGCAAGCGGAACTGTACCTTGGTCGTCCAAGCAACAACCACAGTTTCTGATAGCACGACTCAAGTTGAATACAAGGCCTTATCAGAAGGGGGCAAAAAAGATGTGTATCTCAAGAGTTTAATACAAGAATTGGGAATCCTTCCTTCTCTTAAGGTTACACTTTCTTGCCCTGATTCTACCGTAGTTCACGACTTAAGAGATGCAGCAACACCAACCATGGCAGATTTGCATCTATTTTGTGACAATCAGAATGTTATTAAGCTAGACAAAAACCTGTGTTCCACGCCAAGACCAAGCACATCGAAGACAAACATCATTTCATCAGGGAAAGAGTGTTAGAGGGGGAAATTGACCTCAAGTACATTCACACCGAGGAAAACCTGCAGACTTACTCACGAAGTCACTACCAAGACACAAATTTGAAAAAAGTAGAGAGTCTATTGGAGTATGTTCCTTATCTGACATGCAAGCCATCTCTTTATAAGATTGGAATCCAATGCTCTACCATTAGAATTTTCCGGTACTATTCTCGAGAGTGGCTGCTGTTAGTATTTAGTCACCGAGTGTAGTGTAGTGATCAGATTAGGATAATCTATGGAATTAGATCTTCTTTGTCTTCTTACACTTCTTTGTAGGCTGGTATAATGAGGGTCTATGTTCTCGATCATCGTTATCACCTTTGCTACTTATGGGATACTTCTCTCACTAATCTAAGATCGAGTTCAGCCCTTTCAACAAACCTTTCATCGTTGTGTGAAGGGGGTATGACGAATCGATCGATTTGACAAGAAAAGGCAGATGTGCAGAAGAACGAACGGATCTCTTGATTAATTCGCAGTCGAACAAGGCACAGACGCATGACAAGAACGAGGATCTCGTCGACTATATTCTGTTGAGGTATTTACGGGAATGATGCACATTTGCGAAACTCAGCCTTTCTTTATTCTCGCGAATGTTGGTCAAGAGCGAGAGCATTAGACAGGTAAATGCTGCACAAGATCAAACATGAGACAATTGGGACCAGTAGAACTTGAGTAAGTCAGCAGATGCCATACATATATAAAAGTGAGACAGAAAAGTACAAGGCGATGCAAGAGTGCACATAGAACAAAAAAAGAAGAAGGTCAACGGCGTTGAGAGAATAGCCATAGCTTATCGGCAATCCTTATGATGGAATGAACGTGGTCATTAGCATGTTTGAGTATAACAGAACAGATTCGGTAATGAGAAAAGAGTATTTCCATGTAACATAGAGACAACACCAGAGCATGCATACGGTCGTCGGTGATAAGAAGTTTTCTCTGCATGACACATCGAGAAGGTCATCCCATGTAAGCAAAGAGAGACAAACATGAGGCGGTATTTCGAAGCATAGCCACATGTGAAAAAGGTCACGGGCAGCGATGATGAGTTTTCAACAGAGGGTCATATGGGTCTGTCTGATCTCGTTTGCTTCGTTGAGTGTTTGTTCTGAGACCTCGAAGGTTCAGCTTCGGGAGTGGAGAAGTGGGTGCAGATGATGAAGTTATGGTGATATTTACTGTGGCTTCAAGCTTATGCTTACTTCCATCAAGCTATCGATTGATCAGGTTCTACCGTTCATGATTCTCGTTCGGATGGGCTGCAGATTCTAGTTCAGCTCGGTCGGTGGTGCTGCTCCATGCTCTTGTAACGGAATGAACTCAAGCACTCACCAACCAGCTGAACCTTGAAGGCTCTAGTTTGTGGTTCTGAATACGATTGCCGTGAACCTTTTGACAGTAGTGAGCCTGGACAAGACACGACATACGAAGTTCCCATGTGCTGCGCTTGTATATGCAACAAGAAGGTGGAACATGATGTCAGTGTAGTGACTGGAGCTTGAACTTGGTGAGAGTGTCTTCGCTAGTTGCACAGTGAACACTTTCTGGCTGGACTCGCAACTCGCTGTTGTCCATATGCAGACAAAGAAGTTGATTCGATGCGGTGCACTGTATTTCATGGTGTACAGAAAGATGCACATGGGACAAGTTGAATGACTTTACGTTACACTAATGGAAAATCTCTCGGCCACCAGACAGTTTTCCCTCGATTCTATGAGCTTTCCTTTTGTTTTGATAATATACATTCAATCTTCTTGTCCTCTTAGTTAGTCATCACGCCATCATGAACATGACTCGAGTTACACCTTATTTGAATTCCATCTCGAACTACAGTCCACTATACTACTACGTATACGAACAAACATACGAGCCAACTGCATTCCCCATTGACTCTGACCTTGTTAACTCAAAACATGATCTTTGTTTATCCTTTTTCCAACAGATGGATTGGTGTTGTTCAACCATGACGAGATCTTTGCGCTTGGGGCCATGACGCAGTTAGTGAAGTGAAACCTAGACGCGTCGATTGCTGGTTAAAAACTATTTCCAAACTATAGCATGGATGAACAACGCTCGATAAAGGATAAACTCTCCCTTCTTGGGCTCTTCCAATGCAAAGCTTTACATTATAATTGTCCACTTGGCTCCTGAAAGATTGCACATTACTGAGTGGAAAAATCTGGTGTGGCTTTTCTGTGGGGAAGGACATCACTGTGCCTGATTTTCATCAGATTCAGATGCGTAGAATTCTTAGAGATACATCGAGCATACAAGGTATAAAAATCGTCACAAGTTCTACTTTTTGACCACCAGATGTTGACTTCGGACCGGATCGGAAAGATAGTTTGTAAGTCTCATAATGGTCACTCTTCTGCACAGCAAATTCAGTTCTTCAGAACTCGATTATCTCAGTGCAGTGGTGACTTTCACAGCCCTTTCATGGGGCGGGAAGTCGAAGTCAATCTAGAGAAATTATATTACTCCAACATAGAAACAGTACACACGAGTCGAAGTTCAGCAATAGTTGAACGAAGACAATGGGCTAAAACGTAATAGTGTGAGCACAGACAAACATATTCCCTGAAAGCAGTCATTTCTATCGGATCAATGACACAACAGCCTTATATAGGTTGAAGACTACAAAAGCATGCAAGAAGCGGCTGGAGGTGCCGCGTGAGAGCAGGATATACAATTGTTAAACAAGATTAATATGTACAAAGTTGTATCTGGCCACTTGTTTTGTAAGTGTGTGAACCGCCCATGTATAATATCCAAGAGTTGAAAGGAAAATGTTCGAACTGTAAATTTACAGAGATCCATGGTTTCCGGAGAAATCAGAAACAAAGACCATCACTACAACTGAGACTTCACATCTCTTGAGTGCCACTGGAAAAAAAGTGGACTCCATGAGCTCACTCTAACCAGATTCCCAAATAACCAAACACAGCTACAAACCCTGGGATATCTCGGTCTTACGGCCTAATTGAAGGTTGCTGTGCAACTCAAAAAATGACGAGCCATATCTGGTTCCCTTCCTACCCACAACTAATTTCTTAAGTTTTGAATAATGGGCTACCTCAGCAGAGATTTCAAGCTATCTATACCTCATTGCAAACGCAGACAACTGCAACTGGGTTCCAGAAATATATCTAATCGTGTGATCTTTAAGATCTTCACGTGAAAGGACCTCAATCAACGTATGATGCTAAAATGATTCCGTAAAAATGTCGAGTCGGGTGAACAAATTTCACTCTGGCATGATACGTCCCAGAACAAGATGATTGAGATAACGTCCACTTGATGAATTACAAAAAAAATTTGGACCAGTATGCAGCATCCAGGTCCTACGGAGCACAGAGATTCTTCAAATCCTCTTCTTTCGCAAACCACTCTGGTATCAACTTCGATGCGTGCGGGTACAAATCCTTGTAAGAGTTCCTGATAGTAACTTCGGCCACCCCCGCAACTCGCGAAATATCTGTTGATCGCCAACGTCTGGTATTAGCAAGATATATGGAACAATTCTCCAGGAGAAGAAAAAACAACAAATCAACTTAGTGAACAAAGTGGTTTGTTGTACGCAATAAACTCACTATGTTAATTCCAAGTTACAGGAACGCTACTCCGCAGACGCTACAGATCGCTAGAAGGTGTTGAGCTCAATTATCCGTACTCATGACATGTTGATGGCTCAAAGAAAACTCTCAATGGCTATTGTTAGATAAAGCCCCGACAACATATCCACACAAGGATGTGAGTAGTCAATACAAACCTTTCAAAGGCTTCTTGTCATCTGATAGTTGTGAAATCATGTAAATAGCAGCTGCGGCTATAGAGATGGGGCTTTTCCTGGAAGACAATACCACAATGCGTTTGAGAGGAAATGAGTTCGTCAACATGGAAAGTTGATCACATTTACCGAGAACTTAAAACATTATTTGCAGGACATGTCCATCACACAGATCCAGAGTTGATATTATTGGAAAACTTTTACATCATTATGATGCAAAACTACCATGGATGTAAGAGATGAAATCAGGTAAGGGTTTAACTAGAACTTGAGGTTACCGAATGTCAAGTTGTTCAGATCTTTTTACAGAATCTGTGGCTGCTCTAACAGCATTATTCGTCATCCCTAGATGCGAGCAGAAACGCCTCTGTATGTCAGAACGAAAAGTCAGCCTGTGGTTGGGGCCTTCAACATCCAAAATTTAATGAACGATACACGTGCTTGCGAGGAAAGGTGAAAAAAAGGGTATCATGTTAATTCCTGGTACATATAACTCACCAAAAAGTCACCCGCATGGATTGTACCCATCTCCATGGACATGCCCATTTCTTCTTCGAGCTGCTTAACTATAAACTTGGTGGCACGTCCGATCTCCTTTTTGGAAGCTCCATTTGCGACAGAGCAAATTTCTGCAATTATAATTGAGACTGAGTGTTCCACGTCTTTCATGACACAATAAACACAGTGACTTCACTTCTCTTGTCTATGCTCATCGTGTAAATGCATGAACGAGGAACTTGACAAAAGTTTGTTACCTTTGAAAGTTCGGGGTTTGTCTTCCTGCCTACACGCAATGTAGAGACAAGCAGCCAAAATGGCATCTTGACTCCTTCCCCTTATAGATTTCAGATCCTCCACCTTTTTGTAGATCTCATTGGCTCGATCCTTCACAAAAAATAAGTAGGTGTGCATTTAGCACATCTCTGTCGCAAAGGTCTAGACTTCGGCTGCTCAATATGAGTGTTTGTATTGAACAAATGGACTGCTTAACATCTGCTGGCCATCTCATGTGATATACTTTTCCTGGCCAGCGAGAAAGGTATACTAGACCGAAGATCTGTGAGGAGGAGCTGAGAGAAGATGAGGCTTTCAAACCTCGGAGATCTGAATCAGTAGAGACAAAAGCACAAATGTGCAACGCTTTTCAAGTGATAACTTGACGAACGTATTTAATTATAGAAGACAGAGGATGACATAAAACCCCACACTCGAATTCACATTGACACTAGCAATGCGGTGAACTCGAAAGTAACACGGAGGCGAAGCAGAGATGCACCTTAATGGTAGAGACTAGCCCCAATCTGCAACAAACGCGGGAGACAGAGAAGTTGAATCAGACAACGGATTTCTTGCTGCTGCTTTCAAAAGAGAGAACAACCCGATTCGAACTCATTTTAGGACAAAGGAACAACGAAACAAAAGGACACCCTAAGATTACGAACGTGCACGTCCATCCAGCTCCGAATTGCGACTACATTCTCTTTACACAAGACTTTCGAGAGGCCCTGTTCCTGATGGAGCGAAGACACACTACACATCGGACGATGCAAACTACGGAGGCTTTTCGACCGCTTGGGATGAACAGGGAATGATCGATCTGCTCATCAACCTAAAGTAGCCGGAAAAACTACGCGTATCACTCAGGCTTTGAGTGAACCAAGATAGCTGGAGTGTCAAGATATATACGCCTCGCCAGAAATTAACTGGAAGCCATCTCTTAAAGAACAACCATGAAAGCTAAAACCCCCGAGAAAAACGTGAATCAAGAAGGGAAATTTTACCGGTCTGCCATAGTTGCAATCGTTCGAAAGGCGATGATCAGAGAGCGGTCCGGATTTGAGCCGCGATTTTGCCAGCGGCCGAGAGAGGACATGAAATCTCCCTGTGCTCCATTTGGCTTAGTAATAATTGTAGACATACCACCGTCAGTGAGCAGTGGATTAGAAGGACCTCCTACACGAACGGGATCGTTGGACGACGACTCGTTGGAGAATGTACGCCATTCCGAGGTCTCGTCGATAGAGTGGGCCTCTAGTACTAACCCACACTCAGAGCAGACCATGTCCCCGGCGGCGTGATCCACCACAACCTCTGTCGCTTTATGGCATTCTGGGCAGACCACCTTGTTCATCTTCTCACTCCTTTCCCTTCCCTTCTCCCCTCCCTTTCTGCGGGATTTTCTTCAAGATCGAATCGGCAATTGCACTCGGAAGATCCAATGCCCCGAATTCGCAAAGGTTCCTATAAGGCTTCAAGCGACCTAATGCTACGAGTTCTTTGTCAGCAAATTTCTTAGAGCTTGCGAAAATCTTCCCACTACCAAGTCGCTACGTTTGAATTTACAAACTGATCGGAGGGAGCGATCATGGACTACAGAGTCTCGCCCAGTCCGGTCTGCCTCGTGCACCGGAGAGCGCCCATTCTTCAGCAGTGGACCTCGAACAGAACAAGAGCGCACTACTCGAGGCTCGCGCAGGGTTCAGAGGGGAAATCCGCCGGTCCGGCAATCGCGTTGAGAAATAACAGAATTCTTGTTAAACCTCCGAGGAGGATGAATGTTGGAAAGGTACGACGGAGGTACTAGTGCGCGTAGGTTTAAGATCACAAAACCTCGCTCGTGAAAAATACTAAAGCTCACCGCGCGTCTCTTCTTCTTCTTGAAGAATCTCGCCACCTTGCGATTGCGCGAGCGATTGAGCGTGCGCGCTTGCTTTCCTTCCGTGCCTGGCCTTCCGGGGCTCTCGTCGTGGAGGATGGGCGGCAAGCGCTCGGAGTCCCTCCCTCACTTGGAGCTGCGGAGGCTGGAGCAGAATTGGCATCAGAATTGAGGCCCCGCGAGGCTTTATAGAAAGCGCAGGCTAGGTCAGCCCCGCACCAGCTAGTTCGTTGGGATGTGATGAGATACTCCCATATCGCGGTCAGGTTACCGCTCGGCACGCGTCATCCTCACCCGGCCCCCATTCGCCATCTCGAATCTCGCATCTTCTCCCGAGATTCCTCCCATCCGACGGACTCCCCCTCCTGCTCTCGGTCCTCCCTGCCCGGCTGTCTCCCTGGCAGGCTGTCCCGATCGAGAACGAGGACAAGGGCCGACGGTCCTCCACACGGCGCCCTTTATATATACCAGTCCCCCCGCGGTCGCCCTATCGGTCGCCCCGTCCGGGAACCGGGTTTGGGAGACTAGACGGGCGAGTTCGACGGGGGCTGGCTCTCGACGGGATTGGGCAAGAACTCACGGAAAGCGTGGACCCTCCAGCCAGCCGTGCCCTCGATGGGACATGGGCGGGCGGGCGGCTGGCAGGGCTGGCTGGGCCCGACCCGCGCTCTACCGGACACGGGCAGCTACTAATACGCGACGATGGTCACATTCGCTCGGCCGGAACGGCAGTCGGTCATTTCTGCCCCGCGGGCCCCGGCATCTGTCCTTCGTCGGACTTCCCGAACGAAGGCCAGCGGGCGCGTTAGCGGCTCGGGCTCGGCCTCATTCTCGTTCTCGTTCCGCAGCCTTTCCCCGTGCACAGGCGACGCGCATCGGGGTCCCGGGCTCGCTCCCGACCTCGCGGGACCGGTTACCGTGTGGACATGGGATGCCATGTTGGCATCAGTCGGTCAGGTCAGCCTCTGATTTGACCGCTCCGGTGCCTCGTCATCGATATGGATGCATGCAGCTGCGGAGAGCGAGGCTCGTTCCTCACGCAGCCTCCGGGGGATGTCTATTCCGCTCGTGCTCGGCGTCAGGGCTCGAGTTCTGCTCTCTCGCTTGCGGATTTGATACGGCAGAAATGCTGCAGTGCTGCCGTGTGTCGTCGGCCTTTTTTTGTCGCAGACAGGCTGGCGTCTGCTTGATAGGGACCGAGGCGAGCGCGGAACTCTGAAGAGAAGTCGCTCTCTCGATCGGGAGTTTCCATGTCAATTTTGAGAGGAATGGTGGTTTTTTATGGCTGATGAAGGTTATCTTCTTCACCATCGGATGACTGCCATCGTAGAACCTGAGGTTCGTTTGGCAGTCGTTATCCCTGCAAATAGTGTCAAGATCATTTCTGGTGGGTTATAAGTCTTTTTTGTATGGTCGTTGTCGCCGGGACGTGAGTGGAGTGAGCTTGGTCGTTGAGAGGATCTGTTGCTTGTACGGGTTGCCTAGGGTTTCTGCGTCCCGTCTAGTCATGACAGTGGAGGTCAGCGTGATTTGACGTCGGGTTTGTTTAGCACATTGTTTGGACAGGTCTTATACGGCCTTATATGAAGCTCTGATCGCATGTGTAGTTTCTTTACTCTGCACATTTTCCAGCCAACATTCGGCGTCACGTTCGGTCAGCGTGCAGAGCCGGGATCCTGATTGCGACACTCACCTCTCTCGAATTTCTAAGAATTCGCTGGTCTCGCTCCTCAGCTCATGTCAGTGGAGAGGCTGCTCAAGTTTAGGGTTTGATTATCTCGACATAGGAATACAAAATTGAATTTTTGTCCTATTGTCTACGAAGACTTACGTTCCGCGGTGACAACAACCTCCTGATTCTTTTCCGTATCCACGGATCCAAGCTTGCACATCTCTACTGTTAGCAGGTACCTTCGCGGTACCTGCTAACACCTTCCTCCAGTCCCACAGTTTTTTCAAGCTGAATTTCGTCATTCCTGGATCGTCGTCTGCACTCTGCTTGGTGCCTGTTTCCTCACAACAAGAAATGACATCCTATTTTTATTCAGACTGCTTTCAAGTAGGTTGCATGTTCAGATCAAAGCTTGCGGGCTAGTTTTGTTTTGATTCAATATTTGTCGATCAACACATGAGTTAAATGACATCTCGGCGCATTAGATCATATGCCTGATCTATCGCAGTCATTAAGCCTGAATTCTAGCTTAGCAAATGAGATTGTGATCGCTATTGAGAAGCCTAATATTGGACCATTTTTGCAGTTTTAAAATTTGGGGATATGATCCTGACGTAATGCAACAAATAGAAACTTCAGCCCCTACTACTTTCAGACCAAAATTACTCTTGTTCTTTGCTACGTCTGTGAGATCATTTACGTCTAAGCTAGTTGGGTTTGAGGGAACAAGGGGGATTGTTGCCAGCCTCTTCGTCATTTGCAGAAAGGGGCATGGTTGCCAGCCTCTTCGTCATTTGCAGAAAGTCCACCGCATCTCCTGTGCTGTCGGGAATCTCGTCTTCTTTCTCGGTCAGTCCAAATTATTCTTGATCACCGACACTCCTTGATGACCATTGTGTCTAGCGTATGTAAACTTCAGATTCCAGGAAGGATTGATTAGCGGCTGGAGTAAGAACAAGTGTTGCTCTCATTTGAGATTGAGTTTCTGGTTATTAGTATATTAACAATATGCCTCTAACTCACCAGTGCTTTTTTACAAAAGCACCGCTATTGCAGCTAGATGTCATTTGACAGTAAAAAGCTACTATGTTGGAGTATTCTTAGTCTATGATGTCGGAAAGAAGGTGAGTTTTTCTCTGCTTTCATTGAGTCGAGAAGTGAGCACAGAATAATAGTGAATGATACTGCATGGTGTTGAATTCCTGCTAAGAGTAAGGTCTCTGCTTCCTCACTGACCTATTACTTGCCTATTACCGGTTGAAGGAAGGAAAGGATTTTTTCTCCTGTTATCGATTGACCATGCTAGAGTAATTGACGTAAGCCCAGATGTTTTTCCATGAGAAACTTTGAATTCCGGAGCTCTCAGTCGCGGAGATCAGACTGAATAAGTGCAGCTTTCACAACTGGTGAAGAAGACACTGCTCTTTTAATAGAATCAGAAGCAGTTTTAGAATCACAGAAGATCGCGGTCATTGTGACATTTGTGTGTATAAAAGAGAGATCTTCATGGATTGAAGGGGATGCAACTCCAAGACGTTCAGGTCCTCCCACATGGTTTAATACCTGGATCCTGCTCTAAACCCAACCTGTACATCCTTTGGTAAGTTATTCTGCGACAGAAGTAGAAGATTTTCCAGGTAACGATTCTAACACAATATCATGAATTGAAGAACTATTTTTCACATGGTTTTTCATCCTTTAAGCTGGATGATCATCAAGATTGTATGTTTCAAGATTCATGTACTGTACATGAATTCACTTGAGATGCAACATTCCTTGGATAATATCATGCAGTTGCACATGACAGAGAACAGCCTTGCTGTGTAAATGTAATGTAGTCACAAAGAATAAAAGTTTAAAAAATTGAAGGGGTAAATATTACCCTCACATTTACTACATAGAGTAACTCGTAAGGGAAGATTAATATTTACATCTTCAATTTTGTTATCCATATGAAACTTACAGTCGTTTTTAAACTTGTCTGCACGAAAGAGATAACGGGTTTGGAGAACCTCTCAATTAATTTGAGTTTCTAGTTTTGAAATTTGTACAACCGCATATTATATCGTAAAATTGACCGCAGTCGATTCGATCAATACAATCGCAGTCGATCCGATTGATATTCCTGTTACCCGAAGTGTGACAAATAAACACAGTTTCTAACATAATATGAATATAAATATTGACTGCTAGCGGGCATAACAAGTCCATAACAAGCCAGTGGGTCTAAAACAGTGTTAATGGGAGAACTTTGTCATTGTCGCGATTTAGTCTCAAACTTACACACCTCCCTTGCACTTGTGAGATTACATCGTTCATACTTTGGGAAATGTTAAAGAGAGCATTCATTACAAGAGTTCGAGAATATTACCCTTTTGAATCGGTATCATTACAGCTTAGATTCATTGAATGTAAAATTTACCACATCCGGGATGTAAGTAATCACGTCAGAGTTATTTCGAATTTTACACTTGAATGGAATATACATCACTCATATAAAACACATCTTTTACAGCATCAAAAGTACCTCAATAAGCGATTTAGAAATTAATCCGTGTGAAATAATAACCAAAACACGTGTGAAATAATAACCAAAACATATTTAAAACTGAAAGGGGAGAAGCATTAATTTATACTGTGAAAATATGATGTAAGTTAATTTTCAAAATTCAAACGTTAAATGTGAAATAGTTGTAATTTAAATTTTTTTCTCTACATTTGAATCATATACATGCATATATATGATTATAATTTAATATTATAGAGTTAAATCTCCCTATAGTGACATGCATTGATTCTAGAGTTTTAAATCATTATCGGGAGTTGTTATTCATGACAGGTTGGGTAGTATCTGGCGGATATTATCATTCTTCATGACTTGTCTTCGAATTCAAATATCGGATTGTTTTTAGTAAGCTAATACTCATATCTCAAATGTAAAGTAGAGTTATAAATTGTGGAAATTAGACAACAAGAATTGAGGTTTTCTAGATAAATCAAGATTATAAATTATGAAAAGTGAGGAAACATCTAAGTAAATTCGGAGAGTGATTTTTGTATTTTCTCTCTTGTAAAATGATTGAAACAATAGAATGAAAATAAAATAACAAGAATAAGAATGTACAATGTTTTATGACGAAATTTTGTGAACAAATAATTTTAATAAATGGAGGTTACATAATCACCATTTTCATTTTTTCTCGCGTTTTGAATAGAGCAAGGTGTGGGGGAGTGAATACAAGACGGCCAGCTATTGGTAGCAAGGGCAGTCAAGGCAAGGTGCATGGTGAAGTTCCACGCCATGTTTGCGGCGAGCAAGAGGCGAAGTAAGCTGGGAGTACATTAAGAACCTTCACTACTCGACAGAATCATGTCACTATTGCCAATAGTGACAATAATGTTGTTATTGGATAGATTTACAAGTTAAATTCTAATGGTTCTTGAGTTCTATGTCACAATTGGGAGTATATCATCACTCAGAGGTGACACTATTGGGATGTTTAACTTAGTATATCTTGTATTTAAATGTACTCCAAATTATGATAATTTTTTTACAGCTTCAAAATAATTTT